AGTTGTATGAACAACTTGTCGAGTCCATCTCCATCCTATGAACAAGTCCTGTCCTCGACTCGCCGAGCTGTATGAACAACTCGTCGAGTTCATCCTCAAGATTTGGGAGATTGCCTTGGACTCGCCGAGTCTATTCATGCACCCGCCGAGTCCTATGAACTCCAGGACTATGGCTTATCCCAAAACGTTAGGTTTACTCCTCGGACCCTCTAACACCTTTCCAGCACTCCACTGGGTCTCCTTGACCCATAACAGGAAAGGGGAGTCTACCCTCGGACTCGCCGAGTCCGAACAAGAACGACTCGCTGAGTCGATACAGTCCAAGTCTTATTTCTTCGATTTTTGGCGTACAACTCTTGTCCAAATGGTAGATCTGGGTCCCTAAACTCGATCTAGCACGTAAAGTTATGAACTTTACGTGCATGCATGGGACTTTGAGCCTAAAAGGCTCTAAAAAGGGACTCTTGAGTTGCATGGGGGCTTCCATGGGTGCAAAAGCAGCCCTTTCTGCCTTGTAATTCCTCCATGGACCTAGATCTGAAGCCTAACCCCAACCATGATTGCAATCATGGTTGGTTACCAAGAATGGCTTATAAAAGCCCTAAATCTCCCCAAAAAGGGATCTAGCAAAAGAACAAGCAAGGTATCGACTTTATACCTTCTGTGAACTGCAAATGGTGAACAAACTTGAAATCCCTTGGTCTCCTCTTGATTCCTCTAGGCTTTTCCTTCTCCTTTGAATTCAAAATCACCAAAAAGCATCACAAAAGCCTTAGCTCTTATACAACGGCTAGGGTTTGCTATGGGGGTTTTCTTGGAAGCAATAGGGACGAAGGGTGGCTGAATGAGATGTGTTTAAATAGGGGTTAAACCCTTAGATTAGGGTTTTGTCCAGTCAGAGCCTACTTGTCGAGTCTGCAGCCGACTCGACGAGTCCGTCATTTAAATCCCGAATCAAATCCGTTTCTACTCGACGAGTTGGTCCTTCAACTCGCCGAGTCCCAGACCAAAAATGCAAAATACTTAAATAAAATACATACCAGGAACCAGGTGCTACACAAGTCAACATTGGTCAAAGTCAACGCCCAGTTGACCTGACTCGCCGAGTCGGTCTACCAACTCGTCGAGTCCATGCTCCAATAAACCGATCCAACCTCGTCACCACTCGTCGAGCCTTGAGAGAACTCGTCGAGTTCTCCTTCATTCAAACCACCGGGACCATCTTCATCCGACTCGCCGAGTTGTATGAACAACTCGTCGAGTTCATCTTCAAAGGTTGGGAGATTGCCTTGGACTCGCGAGTCTGTTCATTACACTTGTCGAGTCCCATAATTCCCAGGTCCCTTACGAGTCAACATTACGGACTTCCTTCTCGAAACCACTAGTCCAACCACAGAAGGGATTAGTGGTCACTACACACCGACTCGCCGAGTTCCAAGAACAACTCGTCGAGTCCCTTCTTGACCCTTACTATACAGTCGATTTAAATAGGTCTTAACATGTCAAAACCATAGATCTGGCCTCCTAATGTCAATTTTATACATAAGGTTCCAAACTTGGTGCACATGCATGGGGTCTTTGGCTCAAAAGTCCATAAAAAGGTGCTCTACAATGTGCATGGGGCTCTCATGGCCATATAGTTGGCACCTTTATGCCATGAGACCCCTCCAATGACCCAGATCTGAAAGTAGAACCCCATGAATCACCTACAAACGAAAATTGCTTGAAATCCCAAATGCACCCAAAAATCTAAGCTCTAAAGACGAACAACCAAATGGAAGACCAAAACAGGGGGCATTTACCAAGATTGAGCTGAAGATGGAATAAGATCTCTGGATCTACAAGCCCCAACTCGAATTTACAGGCTTCTTCATTCCTTTCAAGCTTCACAAACAACCCAAAAGCACCAAAAATGCCTTAGATCACTTAAAGCGGCTAGGGTTTCGATATGAGGTGTTCTGGGAGCATAAGGGACGATGGAGGCTGCAATAAGACGTTTAAATAGGGTGCAAACCCTCAAATTTAGGGTTCACCCCAAACAAACACCTACTCGCCGAGTCAGTCCCCGACTCGTCGAGTAGGCCACTTAAACTTCCCGCGGATTCCGTCTTTACTCGACGAGTTGGGCCATCAACTCGTCGAGACCTAGAGAAAATACATAAAATTCATAAATAAAATACATACCAGCAATCTGGTGTTACACCTAGAGCTGCGACAATGTTCGTTTTTTCTCTGATGGTCATTTTAAGTCAAGACTTAGGGCTTATGTGTGTGTGTATGTTTGAAGAAAACCTAGGGATGAATGTATTAGTCTGTTTCTTTTTCTTATTAGTTTGAATAATACGAGAGAGAGAGAGAGAGAGAGAGAGAGAGAGAGAGAGAGAGCGTAGGTTAGGATTTTTTTTATTTTATTTTTCATTTGAAAATAAATGAAATAAATAAAAAAAAATAATAAAAACAATGAAAATGACAAAACATTCATTCTAACTCATTTAAAATCTTTTAGGGACCAAAACATTTGGATCAAAGTGACAATTTTTTGACATACCATAGATACAATTTTTGTAATTTAGTCTTGTTTTTTATAAGTAAAATTATGCTATAACTAATTATGATAAAACTGCAAAAATGGTCCATGTGGTATGTATTTTTTTTCAGAAAATATGTTCAAACCATTAAACTTTTGGATGGATGGTCCTTTTAAACAACGTTGCTTATGGTCTTGGTCAATCGGAAAAACAAAATGACTGTAATACCCTTGATTTATTTATTTTTCATTTTTTCTTTCGTTTTTTTTTTGAAATTTAATACTTAATTATCTATTTTAGTACCGTTCTGATTTTTTTATTATCTATTTTAGTAATTACAAAATAAGAGAGGTGATGTCGAATTATTATTACACCTAATTTTACCTACTATCTAACTAGCTATTCGACTAAAGACAATGTACCTTTTCGCAAATAGTATAATACAAATAGTCGGGTATCGATCACATGGAACGAAATTAGTTATTTAATCTAATTGCTACTAAATTAACCTAAATATCTAAGCAAAAGTTTAAATGGTGTTTATCTGATTTTGCAAGTTCAGACTAACTTAATCACTTAACTATTAAATTCAATCAATTACTAAAATCACTCATGTTTAGTTGGAATCCACTTTTCCTTAACGGTTAGCTATTAATTATGGACAATTCTCGTTGGTTACCAATTAATATATTATTAGCAATTCAAGTCCAAATTTACTAATATTGAATTAATTCATGTAGAGCTATGCATGGTCACACATAATTTAACACGTAATCAATTATTAATTATGATTGGAGCTGTGTAAGATTGATTAAACAAACATAATATTATAGTCACAATATATGTTCTCCAGAACAGCCAAATTTAATAACTTTAATTACTTATCTAAAATTGGTTCGATCCTAGCTCTAGTAATCTGATGGTCACTAAATTACTAGGTGTCAAGTTCATGTAAATTAATAATCACTAAGATACACAGATCATGAATTCAAGCAATTCAAGTATCAAATATTAACATGTTAGGTATTAACAATCAAACACAAGCATATAACCAACTAGAAAAATCCATAATCATATAACTAATCTATGAGTTCAAGTTTCATCTAGCTAAACATAAGCAACTAGATTCAGCTACTCGTGGCTACAATTAAGCACACAATCTCAACAAATAAAAACATCGTCAATTGTACCAAATTAATGGAGAAAAATAAGTTATTCAACTCCTTCTTCTTTCTTGGGTGTTAATACTCAAGTTCTCTGCCTTATTCTCCTCTGGAATTCGTCCTTAGAACCTTTTATTCTTTCCAGCCAGCCTCCAAATTCGTAAGCATCAAGAATATTTATAGTTTTCGTGATTTTGAACTCCACGTCGTGGACTAGGATTCCACGTTGTGAATTTGGATGAATCCTTATCTGGCAAGGACTTGACTTTCTGTGTACTCATCTTCTAGAATCACTATCTCCACGTCGTGTAAGTGAAGCCCACAATGTGGATTTAGCTTTTCGTTGGGATTTTCTTCTCTTTAATTCTTCAATCCTCCAAAGTTCCGCCACTTGTCGCTTTTTGGTCCTTATTCTTCAAGATGACTCCTTTTGGCTGCAAAATACAATTTAATATTATAAGTACCACTTATCTTTGCAAATAACCAAAATATGCATAAAATTTTATTCAAATATTGCCTAAAAATGTGTATAAATATGACAATATCAAGAGGTCCTAGCTCTTACTCTATCTCTCTCTCTCACACACACACACATACACACACACACACCCTCTCTTCGACCCAACCTCATTTTCCCTCATTTCCCTTCACCTATTTCATACTATTTTACATCTGCAAGATTGCAAAACCAGTAAAGCTAGGGTTCCCACGATTACACGTCTAACCCAAGGTCTAGGTTCCCATTTAGGGAAAAATCAATCTACCCTCCATCACCGACAATAGAATCTGATGAAAATGATAATGAAGCGGTGGTGTTGGTTCTTGGCTGGTGTGATGGTGGAGTAAGGCTGATGATGGTCGTGAGACCGACAAAATATTTTAATTAAATACTCATTTAAGTAGCGTAAGATGAAGAGTTGAGAATTAGATGGTTCAAGATAGATAACATATCTTAAACCACATTCATATCAATGACCTCATTTATAAGGGATAGATAAATTAGATAAAGTAAGAATTGATTAGGGATGATAAAACATTAAACAGATAGTAGGAAAAAGAATTATTTTAGGTTAACCTAATATCAGTATACAAAATGTTTGGGTTAAGACTTAAGGGTTAGGTTGGCGTTAAAACGTATTTTTGTTAAAATTTTAACATTTCAGGGGTTAATTTACGACTGTTACAAAAAGAGGGACGGAAATGCTTCTGACCTAAACTTAGAGGGGGTTCTTGCAACTTCCACATTTATTTTATCGCTACAAAACTTTAACCTAAACCCCCCTCCAAAGTCCAAACCCTCACACCTCACAAACAAAAAACGACAGCAGAAACCCTAGACAGAAAACAGGGATGGCGGAACAGCAACTACAGCAAGACGGCTACCAAATTGACATAGGGAATCTCATGGCGTATGATCCTCAACATCAGTTCCAATCTATTCCCGATAAAAGGTTCCAGTTCTTACTCTAAATCACCGACATTAACTTACTGTTTTTGCCTAGACCCCGTTATCTCTATGGAAGCGCATCAGTTCGACCAACTATGAGTTTCGTTTTCAAGTACGAGTGGAGAATTTGAGTTTTTTGCCGTTAAAAACTTTGGTTTTTGCTCTGGTTAACTAATTCGCCGTTTAGGAGTTGTGTAAGTTTTAGATTTGAACTGCTATCGTGTAGCTATTTGAAAACTATTTGGTAAGTTAGTGGTTGTTTTGAAATAATCAAGTACGGTTCAAGTCTGTATCATGCTTAACCCACGAAAACTTGAATAGAATTGCATTGTTGTGTCAGTAGGTAACTGGAATATTGATTTAGGTATAATCAGGGTAATTTAGTAAAAGATTGAGATTGATTGCCCAAATCCCAAATTAGTTTGTTTCATTATACAAATCTGTGGGATTCACTTTTATGTTGATGCAACAGAATATCATTTTTTTTCCTCATCTACTTCCAAAGAATCATTTGATTCCAGAATATAAAATGTTGTGTTTTGATTTTGTAATATTATTATCTATCTCTACTTATCTGTTGCTAAGTTGTTTTCCTGTTGATATTAGGGAGGATCTTGTAAAGGAGTGCATAGCACATGCTACCAAGTTAATTCAAGCAGTTGCAGATAATCTTTTTAGCTTGCCTTCAACAGAAGATGCATCGGGGCCCATTGTTCCTTTACCTCCTCCAACTACAAAATTACCTAGAGAAAAACCTGTATGTTGTTCTCCCTCTTCCATCTCTTCCTCCTTGTTTCTTGTTTATCTGCACACTAGTATTATAAAATGTTCTTAATCTTTCTCCTTTTTTCTAGAAATTCTTTTGCATTTCTCTTTTGCTTGTATTAGCATATAATACTAATAAGAAGTTGAAAGTATCTTCTAATCCTATTTTGCTTCTTTCTTATAGCTCCCAAAACCTGCACCTCCAACAAAGTGGGAAGTTTTTGCCAAAAAGAAAGGTCAGTAAATAAAAATCTAACCTCTCTTCTTTTGTTAAACCCTCTAATGATCCTTGCTGATGTGAGGATGTCATCAATCCTTTCCACAGGTATTCAAAACCGCAAGAAGGACAAAATTGTCTTTGATGAACAAACAAGTTCTTGGAAGCGCAGATACGGTTATGATCGTGTAAACGATGACAACGATCTTCCAATCATTGAAGCAAAAATGACAGATGGTAAATATATAAATAGTAATCACTTCACTTTGTTAAATGAATAGCAACTTTATGTCTTTATCTTACAAATATTGAAAATTTTGACCTTTCTCAGAGCCAGGAGTAGACCCTTTTGCCACAAGAAGATCAGAAAAAAAACAACGAGTTGAAAAGCAAGAAAAAAATCGCTTGCATAATCTCAAAGAAGCATCAAAAGTTGGTGCTCTCCCAAGGTTTGACCTTTTTTTTTACCAAATTACCAAAATACCCCTGTCAGTTTCATTCCCTTAATTTTTGTGCACCTTTATTTTGCAGCCATGTTCAGCTTGCAGCTACTTCATTACCTATAACAGGAACACAAGCTCCACCAAGAAAAGTCAGCAAGGATGAGCTGCAAAATGTTGCAGGAATGGCTGCAACTTCAACTGCTAGTGGGGGTAAATTTGACAAAAAGTTGGCTGGTGAAAAGCCTCCTAAACATGATAAGAAATATAGAAAGGTTTGTGTTTTAAATCTGAAAGTTGTTTGATCAAAATCTTCACATACATCTTTGATTATAAATTTATAAGAAAGATTTCTTTGATTTGTACAGTTTTTACCTGTGGTGGAAGGATCAGGGATGGGTTCATTAGAGAGGCAACAATCTGACAAGATTTTAAATAAATTAATGGCCAAAAATTCTCATGAAATCTTCAATGTTTCTAAGGTATGACCACGTCCTTTTTGTTATCTTTAGTTTTGTAAATTAAAAATTCATTTCATTTCTAACATTGAATTCTTTTGTGATTAATTGTTTGGAAATAGGCTGTGGACATGTACAATGTGAAGAATGACAAGAAACGAAAAAACCAGCAAGGCAAAAACAAGTCCTTTTCAACTTCAAGCAAATTAAAAGTGAAGAAAAGCCCTTACAAAAGTGCATCAAAGGGATCATCAAAGAAAGGATCTTCAAGTAAATCTAAATCTAAGTGAAATGCATTTTTGGGACATTAGAACTTTTACCAATAAGGTAATTTTGGTATTGTAGTGTGTGAGTTATGTTATAGTATTTTTGTCCTTTTTGGTTTCATTATACATTATTCACCATCAAGTTATCAATATTTTTCGATTTTATGGAGTTTTATTCTAAATTAGATGTTATAAAATTATAGCCAAAAGAAGACATGGTTACTAAAAGTCAATTTATGTTTTATGTGGTTTGATAACCTATAAATGAAACCATTTTAGAGTTCACCTCATAAGAATAAGGAACCCTACCTTCCCCATAAAGTTATTGTTTAATTGAATGTTATCAAGTGTCATGGTATATAAAAGTTTGAAAGAACTGAAAATGAAAACTAGTGATTATAGGTCTTTGAATAAATTAACTTAATAGTATTAATGTTTTAGTTGGATTTGAAAAAATAAATAAAAAAAGCGATGTTTGACAAAACTAGCTACTAGTCGGTAACTGTAGTTAGGAGACGTAGTTTTTATGTGTGTAGAAGTGTGGGAAAGCTATCCGGAAGCTTAGGGGTGTTGATCGGGTAATTTTTTCGGGTTACAGGAATTCGGGTTGGGTAATTTGAGTTTTTCATATTAAAAAAAATACCCGTTATCCGATCCAAATTAAATTCGGGTAATTCTGGTTTGGGTAATTCGGGTAGAGGGTCGGGTTTGAATAATTCGGGTATTACTCGAAATATATAATTTTTTTTTGAATTGCATCTGAAAATAAATTTAATGAAACAAATACGTCGTGTTTTATTAGTCTTGTTTATATAAACAAACGAGGCATAAACGAAATTACTATAACTTTGAACATTAAGATTTTTTAGTCAATAATACTTGAGATATCAAGTAATCTTTTAACAACTTAATCTAATCTAATAAGATGTTAAAAAAACAAATACTTAAAGATCTTAGTTTAAAAGTTTAAAATGTTTAAGATAATTGTAGCCATAAGTTTTGCCTTTTGAAGTTTCGTCAAAACAATGAGTTTGTTAGTTGCAATAAAAACTATAATTTAGAAAAAAGTTAAGTTTTAAAGAACATAGTGATATATAAACAATTGTTTTTAATATTGTTATGTCATAATAAAAAAGATTCATGTTTTTATAATAATGATAATTACTTTAAGCGTGATCAAATACCTACTACAGAGTACAAGCTCTACAAAAAAAAAGAATTTTTAAAATAATTCGGGTAATTGGGGTATACCCGAAACCCAACAAACGTATCTTATACCCGACCTAAAAAAAAATCGGGTTACCTGAATACCTGAATTTTTTTACCTGATACCCGATTTACCACCCGAAAAAATCTGGCGGGTAATTCGAGTATCGGTTATTTTCGACAGGGCTACGGAAGCTTATAAAAATGTAAAATTGAAAAAAAAACCAAGTAAAAACCTCCAAAAAGATAGTTGAAGCAGTTGTACATTTTTAGAATTGTGCATTTTTAGAAAGCAGTAACTATAAAATAAACTGAGTTGGTTGATTTTACAACTATATTTTGTGCATTTTTTTCTAGACTTGGCAAAACATGACACGAACCCGACACGAAATTAGCGGGTTAGGGTCAGAGATTTCGACACGTTTATGTAAACGGATTGACACGACACGTCATGATAATTAAACGGGTAGGGTTAGGGTCAAGACTTTCAACTCGAAGATGACTCGAATATGACCCGTTTAATTATATATTATTTATTACAAATTTCATATTTTTATAAATATATTATATGTTATAGACTTGTAGTGGGCCAAACAATAATTAAAAGTAATATCAAATTTTCAAAATACTTAATTTAGTCATCCTCACCACCTATCACTTTTGCTCCCCAACTTTAACTCTTTTCATTTTTCCTTCTAAACTTACTATAAATTTTGTCATTCCATCTCATAACTCTAGTGTTTCACTTTTTCCTTTTTGCCTCCACAACTCCTACTTTCCAACCTTTAAAATATTTCAACTCGACACGACACAACATATTTATAAGGTCTAACCTTAACCGAAACCCGACACGAAAATAAACGGGTTGACACGACACGACACGATAATTAAACGGGTCGGGTTAGGGTTAAACGGGTCGGGTTAGGGTCAAGCCCTTTCAAACTGTTTATTGTATTGACAAGACACGAACCCGACACGACACGACACGTTTGTCAGGTCTAATTTTTTCTTTGTAATGTGTTTTATATTGTTCCAATGAAAGGTTCAAAGAAAAAACCTTCCATTTTAGGATGTGACATTTGCGACAATAACATCTATAAAATTGCATAAAAAATAATTTTTTCATTCATATCTGACATGTAACAACGTTGATCCGATCTAGAGGTGACGTGTGATCGAATGAAAGCAAACAAAAGATTTCAGATGAGAACAATTCCACATTTTCAATGTAAGTGATTTTGTGTGTGATACACAAAATATAACAAGTTGAGTGAGGTGTCCTACTTTCATCCTTTTTATGGAAGTTTGGTATTTTGAATCCTATTTAACATAGAAATAAGGC